CTACTACTACTACTACGAGGGGCCCGAACGACTCGCACCAGGACGAGGTGCCCGAACGCCTCACACCACGAGGAGCCCGAACGACTCACACCAGGACGAGGGGCCCGAACGACTCACACCACGAAGAGCCCGAACGACTCACACCAAAGGAGGGGCCCGAACGACTCACACCAGGACGAGGCGCCCGAACGACTCACACCACGAGGAGCCCGAACGACTCACACCACGACGCGGGCCCCGAACGACTCACACCACGAGGAGCCCGAACGAGTCACACCAGGAGGAGGGGCCCGAACGACTCACACCAGGATGAGGGGCCCGAACAACTCACACCACGAGAAGCCCGAACGACTCACACCAGGACGAAGAGCCCGAACGACTCACACCACGAAGAGCCCGAACGACTCACACCAGGAAGAAGGGCCCGAACGACTCACACCAGGACGAGAGGCCCGAACGACTCGAACCACGAGAAGCCCGAACGGCTCACACCAGGACGAGGGGCCCGAACGACTCACACCACGAGGAGCCCGAACGACTCACACCAGGAAGAGGGGCCCGACGGACTCACACAAGGACGATGGGGCCGAACGACTCACACCACGAGGGGCCCCAACGACTCCCACCAGTCGTCGTCGTCGTCGTCGTCGTCGTCGTCGTCGTCGTCGTCGTCGTCGTCGTCGTCGCCGCCGCCTTCGTCGTCGTCGTCGTCGACGTCGTCGTCGTCGTCGTCGTCGCGGTTGTGGTCGTCGTCGTCGTTGCGGTCGATATCGTCGTCGTCGTCGGGTGCGTCGTCGTTGTTAAGATCATCGCTGTGGTCGTCGTCTCCGCTAAATCCCTCTTGCCTCCCACCGCTTTCTCTCCCTCCTCCTCCGCCTCGTCCTTCTCCCGCTCCCACCACAAGGAGGATGTACAAGGAGGCGGGAGGAAGGAGGAACAGGGGAGATATGCGGGGGCAAGCGGACACACGCCTGAAAAACACGACTGTCGGCATGCTTCGCAAGAGTTGCTGTTTTGAGATGGGCTGGTGGGGATACACGAAGCGTGAAGAATTCTTCCTGGCCTAGCTGGAGTCAGCGGTCCTTCGTGATGGTGCTCCTGGCTTCATCCTGGTATCGCTCCCGCGCCATGTTGGCTGCGCCCAAACTTCGGTTGGCTAATTGCATGTGCTCGCTCCTGGACCTGTTCCTGGCAGCTGCAGCCCGCACCCCCTCCCGCTTCCGGTGTTCTGAGGTGCCGCCTAGGCCTCTGTTTGCTGGCGCGTTAGGCAATTAGGTTCGCGCGCGGCCCGCCCGTTCCGTTACTCGCCGCCTGCGCTTTCGCTTGCGGTTGCGACAAAAGTAACCCCACCAACCTTTCCTCCACTTGCTCGTGCCGCCGTTGGTTACTCCCTGGCTCTGCAGTCACCTGGTCGTTACGTGGCATCGTCAACCGTTGACTGGATAAATTCGCGTTCTTTCGCTGGCTGCTTACGACGATTACATGGAGTACAGCAAGGTCAGGGTGATCCTGTACTTGTTCCACTTCTGAGCTGCGGCTTTTCTTCTCTTCTCCCGCTCCCTCGGTTCCCCTCTCGTCGCCGTTCTTTTCGTTCTGCCTTCTTTATGCCGTCTTTCTTCTCTTCGCGCTCTCTCTCGCTTTTGTTCCTTCGTCGTTTCGCCCCCTCTCGCTTTGCGCACAGTGCCGCGTAGCCAGTTCGGCGTAGCTGCCTTTCGCTTGTCTGCCTGACTCTGTGACGCCGCGCGGGTGTCCGCTCGCGGTCGCGATCAAAAAAGTAACTCCACCAACCCATCCAATGCCCAGAGGAATTTCCTCGATCAGGGAAGTGGGCAGCACACAGAGGAAGGGTCCCCCAGTGGAGGCCTCTTGGAGCGTCTTGGAGGCCTCTTGGCGGTCCCGGACGCCTCTGAGAGCGTCTTGGGTGCCTCGGAGAGCTTTTTGGGGCCCCTTGGGGGTCTCTTGGAGGCCTCTTGGGCGCCTGTTGGGGCCTCCTGGGGCCTGCTGGGCGCCTCTCGGTGCCCTCTTGAAGCGCTCTTGGGAGCCTTGGGAGCGCTCTTGGGGCCATCTCGGAAGACATCGATCAAACAAGAGGGGAGCATGAATTAGCGTTGCCCCTCGGGAGCCCAAAAAGTCGCCTCTTGCGGCGCTCTTGGGACGCTCGTGGAGCGCTCTTGGGCGCTCTTGGGGCCGTCTTGGGGCTCTATTGAGCCTCTCTTGTGGCCCTCTTGGGCCATCTTGAGGCCTCGGATGGCCATCGGAAGCGAAAAGGCGAGAAAGCCAAAAACATTGATTTCCCCAAGGTTTGGGAAGGATTTTGGCCTCCTCGGGGCCTCCTGGGGGAACTCATTGGCCAGTTGGAGCCGTCTTGGAACGGTCTTGGGGCCTCTTGGAGCATCGTGGGGCCATCTTGACGCATCTTGGCATATATGGTCCAGGGCTTGGGCCCCCCCCCCCCAATGCTGATGCCACTGCCCCCCCCCCCCGCGCGATGGTCCCCCCCGACCCCCCCTGTGGGCGTGCCGTGGTGCTGCGCTGCGGTTCCCCCCCCCCTGTGGATGTGGTGTGGTGCTGTGGTGGTTCAGAGGTGGGCGTGGCGTGGTGCTGCGCTGCGGTGCCCCCCTCCCCCCCCCTGTGGATGTGGTGTGGTGCTGTGGTGGTTCAGAGGTCGTCGTCGTCGTCGTCGTCGTCGTCGTCGTCCTCGTCGTCCTCGTCGTCCTCGTCGTCGTCGTCGTCATCGTCGTCGTCGCCGTCGTCATCGTCGTCATCGTCGTCGTCGCCGCCGCCGCCGGCGTCGTCGCCGCCGCAGCCGTCGTTGTCGTCGTCGTGGTCGTCGTCGTCGTCGTCGTCGTCGTCGCCGTCGTCGTCGTCGTCGTCGTCGTCGTCGTCGTCGTCGTCGTCGTCGTCGTCTCTGGGACCATACCATCTGGGGGGGGGGGGGGCCGAGGAATCCTGGGACCATACCATCTGGGGGGGGGGCCGTGGGCCCTCGACCCTGGATCATATATTGAGCCGCCATCTTGGAGGTCATCCTGGGCTCTCCAAGGCGCTCTTGGAGTCGTCTTTATCAGCGTCCCCCCCCCAGGAGGCCAAAATGTGGCCAAAACTTAAATAACAAAAAAATGATGTTGGCATTCTCGCCGAGGCCTCTTGGAGCGTCTTGGGTGCCTCTAGGGGGCCTCTTGGGGCCTCTTGGGGGTCTCTTGGGAGCCTTTTGGGTGCATCCTGGGAGCCTCTTGGGGGCCTCTTGGGGCCTCCTGGCCACCTCTGGGGGCCCTCTTGGGGCACCCTTGGGAGCCTTGGGAGCGTTCTTGGGGCCATCTCGGAGGAGATCAATGAAAGAAGGAGGTTCCTTAATTAGGGTCCCCCCTCCAGGAGGCCAAAATGGGGCCAAAACCTTAGTAAAACCAATGATTATGGCTTCCTCGCCGAGGCCGCTTTGGACGCTCCAACTACTCAGGTCCAGGGAAGGGGTTGGGGGAGGGGCAAACCCCTCCCCGAAGGGGAAGAAGGAGGTTGGAAGAGGAAACTCCCTAGACCACCTACGCCCTAAAGGGCTGGTGGGATTGGTCATGAGCACGCGGCGACGCAGACGTGAGAAGACAAAAGTACCCCCACTGAGCACCCTAAGAGCAGCGCAGGTGAAGAGGTGGGACAGGGGCGAGAGCAGCGGTGCCAGAAGCGAGAGCATGGCCAAAGGCACCTTGGTGCACTCTCTGCAAGGGACCGTGGCCGATCGAGCCAACAATGCGGCCGCCAATCAAGGGCAACCGCTGGTTTCGCCGACGGCTGGTTTCGCCCAGCTGGTTTCGCCTGGCTGGTTTCGCCGCCTGGCGAAACCACCTGCCGTCGGCAAAACTAGCTGCCGTCGGCGAAACCAGCTGCCGTCGGCGAAACTGCCCGACCCGACCCGCCCGCTCGGGTCCGCCCGCCCGACCCGACCCGCCCGTTAGGGTTCGCGCGTGTTCGGTCCAGCGCGCCCCACACTTTAATGTCCCGCCCGCCCGACCCGACCCGCCCAGTAGGATCCGCACGCCCGACCCGCCCCGACCCGCCCGCTTGGGCCCGCCCGCCCGACCCGACCCGCCCTAGTTCACGCGTGTTCGGTCGAGCGCGCCCCACACTTTAATGTCCCGCCCGCCCGACCCGACCCGCCCATTAGGGTCCGCCCGACCCGACCCGACACGCCCGCTCGGGCCCGCCCGCCCGACCCGACCCGCCCGCTCGGGTCCGACGCTCGACGCCCGACGCCCGACGACGACGCCCGACGACGACGACGACGACGACGACGACGACGACGACGACGACGACGACGACGACGACGACGCCGACGCCGACGCCGACGCCGACGGCGACGGCGACGACGGCGTCGGCGAAACCAGCGCCGGCGAAACCAGCGCCGGCGAAACCAGCCGTCGGCGAAACCAGCCGTCGGCGAAACCAGCGGGGCAAAACCAGCGTCGGCGAAACCAGCCGTCGGCGAAACCAGCCGCTGGCGAAACCAGCCGTCGGCGAAACCAGCCGCCGGCGAAACCAGCTCATGCCCAGTCAGGCGAGAGCACGCTGCTAGGACGTGGTGTGAGGAGGCCTCGGGCGAGACGGCTGCCGGACCCGGCGCTCGGGGGCTCCCCGCCCCATCCCCCCCCCTGTGGGACTCTGCTGCGGTCCTCCCTCTCTCGCGTCCCTTCACGAGGGCCCTCTGGCGAGCCGCTGCGCGAGAAGAGTGCCCCGCTGCCCCCCCCCTTCGCCCCAGAGGTTCAAGATCGGTCCTGGGCATTCGGCGGCATGGGCGTGAGAGGGCCCAAAAAATGGTACCCCTGGGGCCTCCGCGAGGCCAAAGCGAACTTTGACTCTGGGGGAGGGGGGGAAAGAGCGAACACGCGGTCGAAAACGAAGGGGTTCGACTTGTGTCCTCTCAGGTAGGGTGCACAACGACCTTCACAGAGAACTTGGGTGAATCGATGGACTGATGACGGTCACGGCAGCACTTTCTCTACGCTGGCCTCTTCGATTGCCGCCTGCTTGACGGAGGTCGTGTCCTCGCAGAACTGCTTGAAGGCAGCGAACTGGACCTGCTCGTCTTTCTTCTCTTTCTTCCCCTTCTCGAGCATTCCTGGAGGGGGCAAACGCATCGTGACGGTCGAAAGGCTGCAGACGTAGAGCGCAAGTGAACAGGAGCGCCAATCACAGGCAGTGGAGAAATGAGGCAGGCACGCACACTTGGTAACAACGCTCTCGTAGCCGTAGCCCGGATGAGAAGGGGCCGACTCGGACGGGAAACCCGACCGCATTAGCCATGCGCCCTCTTTAATTTCGATACCGCTTCGCTCCCAGACCAACGATCCCTCGTAAAGGCTATTCTGGGCCCAACGGGAAGCGCTGCTGGAGACGAAGACCTATCGATATATGAGCTGCTTGTCGTTGCTGATTGATCCTGTTGCTTTCTCTGCTGCTGATTGCTGCTTGCTGCTGCTGCTGCTGCTGCTGCTGCTGCTGCTGCTGCTGCTGCTGCTGCTGCTGCTGCTCGCTGCTGGTGCTACTGCTCGCTGCTGCTTCCCGCTGTCTGCCGCTACTGCCTGCTACTGTCTGTTGCTGCCTGATGTCTGTTGCTGCTTGTTGCCGCTGCCTCTGCGACTGCGGGTGCTAACGGAAGCTCTCAGCACACTTTAGGGGGCAATGGCGGCATCCTCTGGGCCGCCGTGGATCGTCTTGGCGGCGAGGCACAAGAGGAAACGCTGATCCACAAGGTGGCGGAATGGGCCGAAGGCCACTCGATCTACCACCCACGTGCTTGCCACAGTACTCGGCGTACCAAACGTTACAGCCTCCAAATGGTTCCGAGTGGCCTTCGGCGCAACCCGCCAGCCAGCCCGAAGGCATCATAAAAGATATATCTCACGGGCGTTTCCGCCCAAGATGGCCCCCCAGAGAGCCTCCAAGACACGAGGATGTGCCATGATAGCCTACAGGAGACCCGAGTGAACTCCAGATGACCCCAAGGTGGCCACAGGACGACCGCAGAGGGCTCCAAGGCGGCCCGAGATAGCCTCAAAACGGCCAATAGGCTCCCGACACCACGGGACAACAGGGCTCCAAGAGGCCCTCCAGGAGGACACGAAGAGGGCAAAATCAATAGCGTCTTGGGGTTGTTTCGTGCTCTCGCCGGTTCGGGCCCGCGACAACCCAAAATTGCCCCAGAGGCCTCCAGGATAGCCCCAAAACGGCCCGAGGCACCCAAGACGAGCCCAAACACGGCCCAAAGGCGGACCTGCAGCGCCCCCAAAGGGGCCCCGAGGCGGCCCGGAGAGGTCCCAGAAACGGCCTCCAAGGGCGCCAGACAAGCAAGAAGAGCCTTAAGACAACCCGAGGCCCAGAGAGGCCCCCAAGAGGCCCAGAAGGGGCAGCCCAGAAAAAGCCCCAGAAGATCCATACGAGACCCTCGGAGGCCCCCAGGAGACCACCAGGACGCCCCCCAAAAGGCCCTAAGGAGGCCCCAAGAGGGCCTCCTCCTCCTCCTCCTCCTCCTTCTCCTCCTCCTCCTCCTCCTCCTCCTCCTCCTCCTCCTCCTCCTCCTCCCCTCCTCCTCCTTCTCTTCCTCCTCCTCTCCTTCCCTCCTCCCCTCATCCTTATCCTCCTCCTTTTCCCTCTCCTCCTCCTCCGCCTCCTCCTCCTTCTCCTCATCCTCATCCTCCTCTTCCTCCTCCTCCTCCTCCTCCTCCTCCGCCCCTCCTCCTCCGCCTCCTCCTCCTCTTCTTCGTCTTCATTTTCTTATTATTAGTATTATTCTTATCAGTTTAATTATTATTATTATTATTATTATTATTATTATTAGTATTATTATTATTAGTATGTGTATTAGTATTAGTATTATTATTATTAGTATGATTAGTATTATTAGAAGTATTACTATTACTATTAGTCTTATTAGTCTTATGAATATTCTTATGAAAAAAGTAGTATTATTAGTGTTATCATTATTATTATTAGTAGTAGTCGTATTGTTAGTAGTATTTTTATTATTATTACTAGTATTATTAGTATTACTAGAATTATAATTATTATTTATAGTATGATTATTAATGTTATTATTACTAGTATTATTATTATTACTACTATTACTATTAGTATTATTATTATGCTTAGTGTTCGTCTTCTTCGTCTACTTCTTAGTATTAGTAAGATTATTATGCTTAGTATTATTCGTATTCGACTTCCTATTCCCTTATTACTATTATTCTGATTGATATTATTACTCGTAATATTCGTCTTAGTATCCCTCTTCTTATTATAATTCTTAGTATTCGTAGTGGTACTATTCGTATTAGTATTGTTAGTCGTTTTCTTCTTGTTACTATCATTGTGCTTCTTATTATTCGTCTTCTTATTCTTCTTTTTGTTATTATTAGTTTGATTCCTCTTCCTCCTCCTCCTCCTCCTCCTCCTCCTCCTCTTCCTCCTCCTCCTCCTCCTCCTCCTCCACCTCCGCCTCCTCCTCCTCCTCCTCCTCCTCCTCCTCCTCCTCCTCTTCCTCTCTCTCTTCCTCTTCCGAATGTTCCTCCTGGGGGAGTTTCGAAAACGCAAGGGCGGCGGTGGTTCGCCGTGGGCGTCTTCGATCCGCCACCCACATGGCCTGAGGGGCGCTTGGCGTGCCCGAGGTGTGCTTGGCGTGCCCGAGGGGTGCTTGGCCCCGTAGCAATCGGCTCGACCATGCGGCCACCCAGAAGGCGCCATCAGGACCAGGAGCCGGTGCCTTTTCCGCCCCAGGTAGCTCCCAGAGGGCCTCCAAGAAGGCCCTGGTCGCCATCAAATCGGCCAGTGATGGCCAGTGCCCGAGTGGCTTCCAAGTAGGCTCAAGATGCCTCCAAGAGGGCTGAAGGAGCCCACACGGCGCCTCAAGACGGCCCAAAAAGCCCCCAAGGCTCCCCGAGAAGGCTCTTAGAGGACCCCGCAAAACTAACGCATGGCCTACCATTTCATTGGTTTTCGGATTCTCTCCTCTCTGGTTTAAGAGCGTCTCGGCCAGCCCAAGAGGCCCCTCAAATCCCCCTAAGACGGCCCAGAAGGTCCCCAAGACGGCTCAAGAGGGCCCCAAACACGGCCCAAGAGCTCCCCCAGACAGCCCGAAGACGGCCGTGCAGGGCCCCAAGAGAGCCCCAAGACGGCCCAAAGAGGCCTGCAAGACGGCCTCCGATGGCGTCCAACGGCCCAGGAGCGCCGCCCTCAGACGGCCCAAGAGAGCCACAAGAGAACCCAGGGAGGTCCCTAAGGCGGCCCATGATGCCGACACGAGCCCCAAACTCGGGGGCGTGCAAACATGGATTAGCCATCCATGGATTTGGCGCGCGGTCGCCAAATCCATGAATCGGGGGAGGTCTCCTCCCCAAAATGCGGCCGGTGCCGCCTATTTCGGCGGCGGAAATCAGCGATTCCCCATGGAAACGGGACCCGTCGCTAATCCACGCCCCCTTAATCCATGTTTGCGAGCCGTAAGCGGCTCCATGCCATGGGCCCTTCGCCAGTGTTCCCCCCACGGTTTCCCGAACGACTGGGGCAAGACGCAGTCCACCAGGAGGCGGCGGCGGCGGCTCGCTGGAGACCTCTTCGACAGATACAAGCAAGAGGAGGAGGAGGAGGAGGAGGAGGAGGAGGAGGAGGAGGAGGAGGAGGAGGAGGAGGAGGTGGAGGGAAGGAGGAGGAGGAGGAGGAGGATCAGATTAGAATGAGACGAAAATCGCTCAGTGCTGGTGGGTCTGCAGGGTACGGCGGGCAACGCAGCCGCTCCGCTGCGTCCCAGAACGCTTCGAACTCTGGAACCGCTTCTCCTCATCCAAGGCATGCCTGAGCCTACTTTCTCTCTCTCTCCCTCGCGAAAACGCTGACCCGTCACCCGATCCGAAACTGGGCCGCCGCATGCCCCGCAGGCCCGCGCGCGCCGCTCCGGGACCCACGCACGTCGGCGAAGGCCGTTTCCGGGGGTGGTGGGGGAAGGGAGGGCGGTCGAGGATGCTGATGACAAAAGGGGGGCAGGAAACTTCCTGAACCTCCTCCTCCTCCTCCCTCCCCTACCCCTCCCCTTCCCCGCCTCCTCCTCCTCCTCCTGCTCGTCCTCCTCCTCTTCCTCCTCCTCCTCCTCCATTCCTTTTTTGTTCCGTGTACCGCCCTTCCTCCTCCATTCCTTTTCCTTATAAATACCTTCTCCCTGTCGCACCCCGAAAGAAGTTCTTAGGGCGAGCCGGGCGTTTTGCCTGAGACTTCCTCACTATCTTATGACTCTGAGGCTTTAAAGTTGACAACACTTTCACAAATGAAGTGTGGACCGTTTTCTACATGT